GCGGTGTGGACGGGTGCAGGGTTAATTCGATGTAACGGCGCTAACTTCGACATAAACGCCTAGTGTAGACCAGTTCTTAGATTAAGACTTTTACCCTGCTCCCAGCAACTTTACAGAAATGGCCTTTCAGCCAGTCAGTCACCCCATAGTCTCAGTCAGGGATTCTCTTTCACATCTTACAAATATATTGACAACCTAAATGTATTCATTTTCTTCCTTTCCATAGGTCTATGTAATATTACTCTTCCAAAGCGTATGGTAATGTACAGTGCTGTTCAGCGTATAAAAGAAATGGAGGCCAACGCATTTTCCATGTTGAAATTTGATAGATTTTTCGCTGATGCAAATTGGACCAGGACTGAAGAAGCAATTAAAATTGATTACCCTTATAAAGTGAGTAATTTATCTTTATTATATTTCTTACAAAGAAAATTATGTAAGAGGCAAAAGTAATGCTTGAAACAAAAGAATGATTCACAGCTTTTGATTTACACTGGCATCCATTGCAAGAAGGGTAGACTCTCCACTATTAAGTTTTACAGGCTAGTGGGAGAGAATTGTAATGATAAATGAGGTCTCCGGTTTGATGGAAATATCTGATCTACCATTAATATTATGGGGCTTTTATGAAGGGGGGAAAATTAATATACCAAAAAATTAGGGGCTAGATATCCTGCACAGACATCCTTAGAGGTAGATTGTTCAGATCATTATTTGGGTTTTACTGGGGCTAGGATTCAGGCTATGATTAGATTAATCCATGCCACTCTTGTGACCCGTTAATTAATTCAAGTTTATTTTGTTAACTCTGTATCAGCAGTTGACTAATCATCCAGTAGGTCACTAACCAGAATATATATTTCCTTCTAGTGCTCAAAGAGCATCTACAGTAGCATCTACCAAACTTTTGAAAATTGATCCTCCCCTTCAGAAAAATTAAAACAATTGCACCCTTTTATCCTTGTGGTGTTCAAGGCCTACACAAATGAACAGTCACTCAGAGTACATTGTATAGATCTTTATAATATGATACTTCATAGCCATTCTTTCCAACGTTTCTTAGCATTTATATATTTTAAGAAAACCATAACAAAGTCATACTTTTTTCTAATAACTTTGGTTTTAAATAATTTATTTATTGTAATTTATTCATAGGAGTATAAATAAGCTTCTTGAGAATAGGGGACACAGTCATCCTCCTTGATTCACAGAAGGAAGAACAGAAATAGTTCAGAATCTTTCTGAAAAAAGTTTTAATTTTTAATATAAACATACAATTTAGATCCTTAGATTTCTTTGCTATGATGAAATACTGCAAATTTAATTTCTGACTTTGTCTTGATGTAACAATTTCTGTTTGTGTCTAACTCCATATGGAGATTAAATTTTCATTTGAATTAGCATTTTTAATTTAATGTTAGCCTTTGTTTTTTAAACATAGTTCTCTTAGTTAGCTTTTTGGTTCTCATGTTTCCAATATGTTACGATCAGTTCACTTGTTTCTGTTTCTCTTATTTAGTTTGACATAGAGGAAGTTTCCCAAAATGTTAGAACACTTGAATGTCCAGATTGTAATGCAGAAATTTCATCTGAGACAACACCTCAACAAATTGCTGACATACTGGAAGAAGCCAGGTTACGTCTTTTAACAGCACAAATAGTTAGTATTCATTCTATTTGGTTATATTCTTATTTTTCTCGATTAACACACATATTTTAATTTTAGTACTATTATTATTTAAGGAATGGGTATCCAAATGTGACCTGTGGACCACTTTGGACATCAAGGCTTTAAATTGTGGCCTTCAAGGATGACAGTGTTAAGAAGAAATGTACTTGACTATAAACTGAAAATGTATACCCTCAGCTATGTGATATGACTTCTAAACTGAAACATTTGAATCAGCCCTATTACTACAAGGAGGAAATCGATGGCACTGCTTTCCCATCTATCTCCCACTGTTTCCCTTGGAGCCTCAGGAGCAGCTCTGGTGTGAGCCTAGAGTGCTCTGACCAGCATCTGAGTCCCTTCCTTGTTGCAGCTGCTAAGCAGCTCCCCCACTGGTCCTCTGCTGCATCCTAGGGAAGGGACGAGAGAATAATTCTGGCTTGTGCATTAATTTCTTTCTTGCCAGGCTTTGGGAAGCACAGAGGTAGCATGATAGAAGTTTGAGTGCATCTATATTGGCCCTGTGGTAGTATCTGTCAAATGATGGCTCCTTTCCCCAATGCAGCCACCCAGGGCAGCCCAGGAGAGGATTAGAAAAGCTGAAGCTGAGAACCCACAACTGATTATGGCTCCCAGATTCTCTGCCCTACCTCAGGCTAGAGAATCTTTGCTCCAGCTTGATTCAGTCCTCAAGAGACCATACTCCAGCAAGGAATTGTCAAGAGTGCAGCACACACCAGCTACTCTCCCCTCCACATTCCCTTTTACATCAGGAGCTGCAGGCAGGGAGGCATAGGATCTGAATTCAGTGGCTCTATATCCACTGAGGACTCTCGCATATATGGGGGACTTACTGATAGTTTCTGCTCCCTTTGTGTTGTGTGAGTGGAGTAGGATAGAGAATCCACCTCAATGTACTGATTGTGGTCCCTTGATCTTTTTGAAATATGTTTGGCTGTCCAGCTGAAAAAGCTGGGCTTCACTGAATTAAGGATAAACTTAGAATCTTTTTACCTTCCAAGACATGTGCTGAAAGATCTGATTTTCCGCATAACACTTATTGGCAGTACTAACACCTAAAATAAAGCAGTATTTTCAGCTTTCCTGCCTTAAGTATTAGTGATGTGAGTAACTGTTTCTAGAGATCAGAGAAACCTGAACTCTTAATCTTGATAGATAAATAAAGGAAAAATGATTTTCAGATCAGATGCAGTGTGGAAGGAGAGTTATGCCTTTGCTCATATTCTTACTCAGGTGAAACACACTGAGTTTAAGACAATAAGACATGGACCTTGCCAAATACCAAATTCAGGTGGCCTTTTATGCAGACTGTCACAGTTTCAGTGTAACTGCACCTGTATTTCCTCCTCCATGGTCCACTGCAGGAGTTCCCAGTCAGGTTTTAGGGCTCCAGGCATCACCTATCCCAGGGCAGGGCCCTTTGTCCCACTCCCTTCTGACCAGGAGTTTTAAGGCTTCTCTGAGCCTTACATTATACTATGATATCCCCAGCAGGCCAGTTTGCCTAAAGGCCAGCATCTGGGCTTTGCTTTCTCTCTGATGATACCAGATTTGACCCTTACTTTGTGGTACACTCATTTATTAGGGTTACTCTTTTGCAGGGGTGGGGTTCTGTAATTCTATCAATGTACTGCTTGTGTCATTTGTGTTCTCATACGGAGCCCTACTTCTCCCTTCTTCCCTCCCAATGGAGCTATCCTGCAGGACCTAGGTTCCCCAGGGCTGGGTTCTTCCAGCTCCAGAATCAGACGAACACACACATTAACAGAGCACATCTGAGAGGACTGGGTTCATTAGCACTCCCAAGCTGACCCCTTATATGTGCCTAGACTCAGTAGGCTGGGTTGAGCAGCACCTCCAAGCTGTCACCCTCATAGGCCCTTGGACTCAGCAGGCTGGGTTGAACAGCACCTCCAGGCTGTCACCTTCATATGCCACGGGCACAGCCCTGGAATAGAGTATGCATGAGCAGGCTGGGTCGAGCAGCACTTTCAAGTTGCCTCCCTCATATGCCCCCGGTTCAGCACGTCCCTGTCCCCACTTTCACATTACAATTGTTCTGGTAGTAACCCACTTGATGAGCAAACCCCACCAGATTTTTGGGTGCTGCAGGGATCTTTAGCGTAGGTATGAGGAGTGTATGTGGGGGGAGGGAGAAGAGAAAGAGAGAGAGAAACAACCAGCTTAACCAGTTATTTACTGCCAGGTAATAACCATACAAGGGGAGCCAAACAAACAAAACAGTTATAATATTAAATCTAACTTTAATTTGATTCTCATAGACTCATAGACTCATAGACTC